CTCGCTCCGTTGTATTAGTTGTGAGGAAATTATCCTCAAGAGTGCCACTGGAGAGGAAATAGCAGGGGACCGTCGACTCTTCCTGCGTGACGAAAACCATGCCGATGACGCTCTCCAGGACGTATCCGTTATTCAGAATAGCGGCACTGACAAAGCCGGCATCTGTGCTATAGGAATAGGCGAATACGCTGGCTGCATGAAGCCTGTAGAAAGCAAGGGTTTCATCGGGATCTCCACAGGTTTCAGCGGATCGTTCCTGGGTATACAGAATAAGGTAGTCTGATAGCAATCACGGTCCGATTGTTGGGCGACCGACTGATTACGCAATATGGTGGCTGTGCCAGCCGACGGCCAGTTCGCCTGTATTGCAGCGATGGGCCTCGTCAAAAATCCGGAAATATTTGTAAAGACTCCTGGAGCAAACTCAAACATTCTATCCCGCAAGAATCTCTCGATTCAGCCAGTCACTTCTCCAGAACAGGATCAGGTCAAAAAGCTGCTTATGTAAAATGCTTCAGAAAACTCAGCTTATATCGCAACAACGAATGAAGGAAATTCTTAGGTTTAAGGGAGGGGCCTCTGAATTGGAAGTAGATCTGTATGCTCAAATATTCTCAGATTTATCGGCGCGTCGAGGCGGAGGCAAAACGCGAGAAGGAATTTGATCGGTGGGCCAACAAGATGGTCGTGTTTACTAACAGACCCTATATTGATACTTACTTGTTCGTCATCAATATAGGGTATCTGTTACAGAGACTAAGAATAAGGCAACAAAGAACACGATTTAGAATCTACGACATACCGTCGCAGCCACTGAAGGTGTGTGGATGTTATTCAGCGCGGAGGCAAAGCCGACCACAATGGAAAGAAGTATCGCAGACAGGATATGCTTCATGACCGAGGTGAGGGAAGATACCGTTCAACATGATAACCAACCAGTTATATAGCATATGGATGAGTGTAATGATTCGATGTCAGATACTGCATGATTAGGCCTCAGCCGTTGAGGTCGGACAACCAGTTAAATAGCATATGAATGAGTGTAATGATTTGATGTCAGATACTGCATGATTAGGCCTCAGCCGTTGAGGTCGGAGGTGACTCAAGTTTAATTCTGTGCATTGGAATGCAGTAGAAACAGATTGGTGCCATACCGGTTCTTTGAAGAATCAAAAAGCTGAGTAGATTCCGAGTAGTACGTAGACTGTACGTGCATCCTCGTGCTTGATGTCACTCATGGCGCTCGTCGATGCTAAGTTGAATGTCTAAGGCCGCCTTCTTCATCAGACATCAAGAGATACGAACGTGGAATGGAAGTGCGCCGGATCCTTCGTGCTCGATGGCATGTCCCAGCGCTCATACATGGATGTAATTCACGTCCGAGGAAGTCGGGAATATCTGTGCATTTGAATGCTACCGGCGTTTCTGTACGAGACGTTGAGAGGGACGTTGAAATTGGACAGATGTGTCGAGCGAACTGCGTTCGTGTCAGATGGCTATATATATTTCATGCCGGTTACTTCGTTTCTCATGACAAAACATCCTGGCATATGTAGAAAATCCAACAGCTGCATTAATCGACGCAGCGACCCCGCTGTTCAAATTTCACTGGTTTTATTTTCTGAGCAAAGCGCTGATTGAGTCCCTATCAAGAAGCTAGAATCACGATTCCTGGTATCTTCCGAGCCGTTAGCGAGGTATCGTCACATTCAAATACTTAGCATTCGGGCAGTGACAGGCACGCCCCGGGGTTTGCGAGTCGCCGGAAGAAGAGACTATCATTATCAATCCTGCTTGAGCTCCGAGTGAGCTCGTTCACCTTACATCCGACACGGCATTTTCCTAGCCGTGTCTCCTGCAGCTGTGGTAGCGCCTCGTACGCTTCTAGCGGCAGAGGGTGTGCTTATGCGGCCAGTGAGCCGAAGAGTATGATAGGAGTGGGTTGTAGGCTGACGCGAGGTTAGCAAGAGCGCCGAGAACGACAACCGTTGTGTCGGCGGATTTTTCAGCAAACGACAGGTCGACAGATTCCTCCTGCTGAATAAATGGCAGGTCTTACTGTACCATTTCGACCGTAGGTTCAGTCACAGGTCACACCCGATTTTTTTTGATGTGTAGCAGCGGAATGTGCTCGAATAGTGAGCCAAGTCCAAGTTCCCACAATAATTGTGTACACTGCTGAGGGGGGTTACAAATAGGGGGCTGATCACTAGGGTTCAACATACGTCCACCCGCGGATACGAGGAAAGGTCATAGACGTTCGAGCAGGAGAGGAAAGAGTGAGAATTAGGAAGGGGATAGGAAAATACATCCAAAAAAAAGCGGCAGAGATTCTTAATCGCCTGTGCCATGTAAGTGAGAGCTCACGCATAGGATCGTACGCCGCGGGTTGCGCGTGTGCGGGAAGGGCGGACGTCGTGGTGGAGCGACGTAGCGATATGGTGGTTTTGACGGGAAATTGATGGTGTGTTAGAGCTCTGGGCTGTCTGGTTAGCACAGAACAGATGAAGATGAAGAAAGGATGAATACAGCACGCATTCGAACACCCTGCCATTGGTGAGCTTCATCCCACGGCGAGCATTCCCGTCTTGTAGGAGAAATTGGGGGACAGTTTGGGCAGTGCGAGCATTGATGTCGATGTCCAGGAAGTCACGGTGAGAGTTCCAGAGCAACGCGTAGAGCGGGGAGTAAATGAGGTCGTGGAGGAAGGAGACAGCTCGACGCTGTGTCCACCGTGACGATCCCATCAGCCCATCAATGCCAAACAACGCTTGCCTTCTCCCTTCATCCATCATGCGCGCCTCGCTCGTCAGATTGGCTGAATCATTTCCGAGCCGACCTCTGAATCTTACGGAGCACAGCGCCGTACTCCTCCCTCCAAAGCCGTACTTGCCACCCACGAAACTGAGAGTGGACTGATAATTTTTTACTGCAGCTTGTATCGGCGAATATTGCGCGCCCACCGCAATCTTGCCCCAGATCTTCGGTTTATGGGGGACGGCTATATCAAATCCGGTACATTAGCCCGTATTTGACGTTCAATATGCATTTTGACCTGATTTCTGCAGAATTTCGGCGACATCAGGCGGTAACAAACCCGGTGCATGTCATTGGCTTTCTGTCGCAGTGGTAAGCCTAGGTGGCATTACACGGCCGGTCCGAATGACGAATGCACGCCGGCTCCAGGAAGGCATACCTGGATTACATTCCGGCGGGACCCGACGCCAAGAATTTTACGGGGAAGAGATTGGATCCCACCGTGTACGAAAAGGTGTGCATGGGTAACATGTTGTTCCGAGTCCTTGCTGAATCCACTGATCCAATTTCAAACCAGATGTCAGCGGAACAAATAGGACAACTTTACGAGCTCATGCACGCCACCAAAGATGTGTGGAAGAATCCGGAACCATCATCTTAATTTCGCTGTCGAGTATAGCCTGTTTTCGAGGAATGATATCCACTTTCACACATTCCTCCGGTTCATTCCGCTCATCGTTGCGGCTTGCACCCGTTATTTGTCTCGGCAGGGGAGTTTCGCGCTTATTTCCGCTTCCGTTCAGGTTGTTGAACTCGACGCTGCCGCACCTCGGAGGCCCGATACTAGAGCATTGCTAATGAGGTTTAACTGAAGGGGCATCGGCACATTTTAGTGGGCCGTGGTATGAATCAGGCATTTGGTCACTGACCAAGCTTTTCTCCACTGGGCCCTATACAATTTTTCTTTGCGCACTCTGCCCGAACTATCGTTGTTCGTAGGGATTGTACAGCTTACGGCAACTTTTACTTGCGGAGGGCTCACTAAAAATGAAGAAAGCACTGATCATGCACGGCGGGGAATTCTTCGTGCCGGCCAGTCCATCTTCTTCTTTGCCATTTAATTGGCGAAACAGATGGACGTACAACTGGGATTCGCGATTCAAGATACCCCGGGCTACTCAGAGAACGGCGACACAAATTGAACCGAGGTAATGTACAGCAGTGCGTGTTTTGCCGATTCGACCAGAAAGTATAGCTCACAATGATCGTACAGTAATCGTGTCTGGGTGAGATGAATATACCCACCCACAGAACCCAGCCTCTCACCGTTTCAAACCCCACCTCTATCCCGCTCTGCACCGAAAAATCAAGCTCGACCCACAAAGCAGTGTACACGTGACTCATCGTTGCGTCTCGATCAGGTAAACATATACAAATATCTGTCAAGTCAAGTCATGTTGAGTCAGTTTCTCAGCCATGTCACATTGTCAAAGTCATTTGTGCTAATGCAGACAAGGAAAAGAAAAGGATATCACCCCGGCGGGACTCGAACTCGCATCTCTAGCTTCGAGGACTGGTGTCGTACCCATTAGACCACAGGGCAATGGTTGTTCATTCACAAAGATGGTATAGGCTCTGGCCGAGACGCCGCTCCCTCCATATCATCTGTGCTTTGGACACGTCTATTTCGCTCGCTGGACACACCCGCTGCCTGGATATCGATCCGACATTTACAGAATCACTGAAAATTTAACCCTCTCCAAATGTGCCACTCCTTGTCCACACTCATTTGCCAGGAGTTAGCAAGGAATGGTAGGCGTTCAAGTTCAGGAATATTGTTCACTCGAGGGAGCTTCATTCCAAATTCCGAGGTCTGCGTAGGTTCGAACCAAAAGTGGTGCAACACGTGATTTATGGTCGCGTCTCGATCAATTACACACATACAAACAACTGTCAAGTCAAGTCATGTTCAGTCAGTTCTCCGGTCTGTCAAGTCATTTCTTCTGCTAAAATGATGCAGGAGTCAATTAAAAAGAGAGATTATCACACCGCCGAGATTAGAACTCGCAGCTTCCAGAGACGAAAAAAAAGGACGACAACGTCTGTCTCATTTGAATCTGTCTTTGCGAATACTCGAGAGCTAATATCGAACTTTTTCGACCCAGTACGTGGTTGTGTTTAGATTTATCTGCTGCGTCGCGAGGAAGTAAAAGCGCGCCGACTCTAGAAAGTTGTGACCAAGATCGCCCCGGCGGGAATTGAACCCGCAATTTCCAGCGGATAATCTCTCGAGCCGAAGTTCACTGGCGTCGTACCGTTGGACTACGGGACTGATGAGGAGCACAAGGAAATTCTTGTTCAAACTTACCAACCCGTGCAAAAGTGAATTTGTACAATACACAAAACCTGCGATCTTCGCGGTGGCTCTCGGGCTAATGCAACACAATTGTCTTCGCGTTTCTGGCACAATCGATATCCCAATGTGCACGGAAATCTTACATTCAGATCCCGAGGGCTCGAGACCCCTTGTTGTTCTGCTGACCGGCCGGACTATTTGATGTACGAGCAGACGAACGTCTGAGCTCCTTGGTGTCCCCGGTCCCGCAACTGGTACTTTCTCGCCTTCTTGGGGGTGCTTCCAGGAATTTGAACACCTCAGGAAGACCCTCTATAACGTTAAATTAGGCTAGAAGGTAAAGAAGCTGCATCTCCTACTGAGAAGTTATGTGACGGAATGAATATAATAGATGTCGCGTTGTAATAATATAATGCGCTTAATCAGTGCAATATAGGTTTGCGGGCCTTCACCGACTGTCGCATTTCTCAGCACAGGCCCAAAAAGAATTATCCATGCTTGAACAGCAATAACTCGAAGGCCCGAGCGTTCCAGGGCCTCAGTCCACGCCATTGGCCATCGCAACTACTTACTAGAATCATACGCTTCTGAATTCTAGGTTGGATGATTTGCGGCCAAATCGCTAGAGTGCCATCAACCGCTGCGGTCGGAAATCAAGATGGCCCAACATCTTCTGTGGCCGTATATTTCCTGGCGCTCGACGGGAAACACTCGTGTCTTCACGATCACTGGCCAGACAGAAAAGGACGGCACAGTGAACTTGCCATCAACGGCACGGCTGTACCAATCTCTATCGTACAGCCGGAGAGCCCATGGATGATGCTGAGAGTGGCAGGTTGACCGATTTGTCGTATTTCAACCGTCCGATACGTCTACGACTTTTACCTTGGACTTCCAGAAGCAAGCCGTGGTATGGCGGTGATGGCCAAGTGTGCCGGCCATCGAGATGAAAGATGCCGACTGGCGGAACCGGCGGCATAGTTGCCGGCATCAAAGTTCATGAAATGCTGATTCTGAGGCCTGGAAATGTCCGCCCGAGTTTTTCCACCTCGCATAGGCAGATCAGGGAATTGAATGGTCTGAGGTGACAGCAGACACGTCAGAACATGGCTGAAAAGGATCCAGACTAGTCTGATGATTATCAACTCCCTCGAGCCAGAGGCTTTCATATTGCTTGGCCGATATCCCATACTTCCCAGATCATTCACGGGTACTCGAACCCCGAAGGTCCAGTGAAACTTGCATGCAGCGCTGCTCTGACGGCGGACTTCTGTCCCTGGCGCGAGTGACTCGCTCTGTGTATTTATTTCCACCGCCGCAATTCGAAATGAGTCGAGTTCAATGGCCATTCTCACGTTCATCGTGTCTGTTTTGTCCGAGTCGCCACGCATCGCCGGGATATCCGACTTTTAGCTCGCACCGCCTTTTAGCCCGCCGCTGCACATGGCATATGCGTCCGCGGGGCTACCCGCCCCTTTTCTGTTTGACAGCTCGCTGACAATCATCGCAAGATCGCGTGCGCATCATTTCCTTTTATGGTCGGCGGCGTTGAACCTATTTATGTTTCTCCGGTTGGACGCCTCGGAGTCCGAGCCGACCTTGATTGAGCAACCGGTGTAGAATTGAATCCACGCCCGGTTTAGCCCCACTAATATTTCAGTAGATCTTTGGTACCAGTAGTCTTTTCAGACAGACGCTAATACAGCAAGAAAAAAACCGCGCACCTCGTTTGTTGTTACAGTAAGTTATCAGTGGAATGAACGGAATTAAATTGGAAAAAGGGACCGGCCTGGAGACGGGGACGCCGGGAAGGACGGGGCCCGAGAGGCAGACATCGAGTCTTTATCTATCTCTCAACTCAATTACACTCAACTCCGAGTCAACTGAGTCTCGGCCAGGTCTAGGGCCGATCACGCTTTCTAGACCTATCTCCGCAGTTCGATATTGAAAGCAAGATGGCCGTTGAACTAGTGCTAGTTTTATTTCACAACGTTGAGATATGCCGTCGACAGCCTGCGCACCCGCGCCGTCTCTTGGTCGTCAATGAAAGTCCTGGAGTCTAGTCCGCTATTTTGTCAAGCCAGCTCTGATACTCGCGTGCGAGGGATATTCCCACTCGGTGGGTTCATTGTGCGCTCATGATCCAGTCGCTTTTTCGGGGGCTAATCTTCAACCCGTGTTGAATATCAATCTCACCTTCAAGTCCGCACCTAACTCGGCCCCCACTTGTACTCAAGATGAACTGAAGACCTTCTCGCCCAGACGGGTGGATCGCTTGTTCAACACCGTGACGCCGATCAAGCGCCTAGCTACTAGAATTGAATTCAACATCACATCACGAAAAGCGGAACATCAGCTGCAGCAGTGTGACAGAAGATGCCCGGGATTTAATTTTGGTTTTCGGACCCGCCGTTCGTTAATAGACGCCTACTAGGCGCGATCTGTGGTGGATGGGTGTATATATACTATCTAGTTCTGCATATCTGATACGTACTACTATCATGATATGTAGAAGAATATTCCCGAGGTCCGTCCGCTCTGTTCGTATTCCCACCCGCCGATGATCGTCGCAGGCCATAATCAGTTTCAAGAGTTTAGCGGATGGCAGGGGGCGGGAAAATGGGGTAGGTATACTTAGATAGATAGATAGAGGGATATGCGAACATGGGGGTGCGGGTAGGGTTGCGCGTGAGGGACTGGGATATAATTACATGCTACATCTTGACGACTATCTTGATATTCCGCGAGAAGCTCGTCTAAATTCGAACCAGAAAATAAGATGCGACAGACAGAGTCTGATAGGCCACAACAGAACTTAGGAGACCCGGGAATGGTTTCACGTTAACTGGGCTTCCATTGCTGATCCACAGACCAGGACCGCCGAGGTGGGCGGAGCTGGTCTTTGTTTGATTTGGGTAGGATGCCGGATGGATGCTGCGGAGCCGGACTGCGGTTGAACACGATGGGTGCAAGCAACTTCCCTCGCCCGGCTGGTTGAATTTTGTTGGGAACTCTTTGCCTTGCGCAGGTCTAGCCAGCTGCCAATTGGACTACTGGTTCGTACATTAAATAGCGTAGTGCCCGAGAGTACCCGGCGCTAGTTGGCGCTAGCGCGAGCACTTGGATCCAAATTTATGGGGCGCGGGCACGCATCCCCGGGACCTAAAATATGTATCGAACCATGTGTATTGGTGTTGGTGGCGCCCCATTCCATTCCATTCCACAGGTTACACAACCCCGCACAGCTCGAGCATCATTACCGGCAATGCGAAGCGCCTCCGACTTGCGAAAGGCTGCGGCTCGGTTTCTCTATTGATATTTTCTCCTTGCCGGCGCCAGATGTAAGCGCTGCAAGCATCCATATGCAGATGGAGATGGGAAATCTAACCGACTAACTAACTAGTTTGTATTGCACTATTCTGGGCATTGGCATTTGACAGGATCAGCGCTAGTTAGGCACTTCGATTCTGATATGTAGTTGGGTTCAAATTTAGCCACCCACTGGGAGCTGGCCGGGGCGTCGGACACCAGATAAACAGAGACTAATATTACGGGATGGGATTAGTGAACCCTGAACTCTGAGCGCCGGCGTGCGTGGGGGTCGGAGGTGGGGATGGGGATGGAACTGTAGCCGGGGTGGCCGTACGCCGGCGGAGAGGAGGGGGAGGTGGATGGGATTCAGGGGGGGCCTCGGTGGGGGACTCCGCCGACGCCGGGCCGATTATTGGAGTTCGAGTTGCGAGAAAGATCCCCGCCCAAAAGACGGCGGCGGAGGGAGGCGAGGAAAGGCGTCGGCGTGCCTGAGATCGGCGGAAGCCTGGCCCCGTCGCCGAGGGGTGCGAAGTGACGCAACTTGCGTGCAAGACATGGCCTGCCAAGTGCCAAGTGTCTTAATAGTCCAGTCGGTGTTTAGAGGGAGGGACGGCGACGCCGGCGGCGGTCGGGGGTTGGAATGGTCCGACCCGGGCGGCGGTCTGTGGTTGGTTTCCGGACGGAGAGACGGTGAGCGTTGGGGATTCAGATATTTGAGTGCTCCAAGGCCGCAGAGGGAGAAATTCGAGTTGGTTTGGTGGATATCGATTTTATATACAATGCACGCGTGGCACCGGGCACGTGTGTCTGATGCATATGTTCAACGTTCAACTTCAACCTCGGTCGCGTGCTCTTGGGGCGCGTGCCAGCCCGCCACTGTCAGACTGAGACAAGAAGAAAGAGAAGGCCATGTGGCGCTGAATGACGATAACGGGTGTATAGACGTGTGCGTTTGTCGAGGAGGCGAATGGAAAGTAGGAATATTCCAGAAGACTAGCGTAATACGAACTTGACAGTGGGGCAACCAGGGATGCAGATAATAGATTAGACGGTGATGTAAATCGCTTTCAATTTATCGAGGTGTGCTTTGCTACCGCGGCATGAGGAGGATGGATGGACGGAAGCAACCAAGTCAACACGGCGGTGATAAAGGAGGGAGGGAGGGAGGGAGGGTAGACAGATCCTGTCTCTGCTTCTGAATCACTGCGTACAACGGCTGCGGAGATAAACGAAACAGAGGGGAGATAAGAGAAGAGAAGAGAAGTGGGAGAAATAAGTTATATGAGATCTCGTCTCGTCTCGGATGTTTTATTGTTTATTTATCTCGATAAACACCGGGGCTGTCGAGGAGAAGCACCCGGCTTGAAAAAGGGAGAAGGGAAATAGAAGCAACGACGGGCGAAGACAGATTCTGCCAATTGCGATTATTGTACCTCGCTGGATTTAATTATGTTGGATTTGCGATTGCGATTGTACAGCAGTATTGAATTGAATTACGTAGGAGGAAGGAAGCTCGAAGCGCAGATCAAAGGACACGCGTGTCAAGGGAATGAACGTACCCTGGGCCTCGAGATCTGTTAGCAGAACGAATCCGGATCCAAAAAAGATGGTTGTAGGAGATTGTAGGTGGTTATCTTGTGTTGTATGCACGGACCTTTTAAGTA